GGCGGCTCTGTTCTTCCTCGCGGTCCGCCCCTGGGTGTCCGCGCTGGGCCTCAGGACGGTCAGACGGCGACGAGTCGGGATAAAAAAGTCGTCCGGGGGGACAGGATCCGGGGTCGGGTAGTTCTGGGGGGCCATTATTGGAAACATTTGGACTTTGCAGTTTGTGGTTGGGAGCGGGCATCAGTGCCAAGCTGGGTGCTGGCTTCGCCGTGCTTGGGTGGTGCTCGGGGCTCCAAGGGTGGCCTTACGCGTCGGCTGAGCTGGGTTTGGGAGGCCCAAAGCACGGTTACAGCGCAGGTTCCTGCTTGCTTGTTGCTTGAGTAAACAAGAAGAAAAGAAACTGTGCAAACAAGCTTTCTGACGCCCGCGCGGATTCCCCGGATCGGCGCTGGGACTCCCTGGCGGCACCTCCAGGTCGCCCCTGGCGCGCATCGCGCGCAAGGGAGGGGAGTCCAGCAACGGTCCAAGAAATCCGGGCGGAGGCCTGAAAGGTTCTGTTCATGCAGTTTTTCGTCCCCCCGGGCAGGGCTCTTTCCCCCTCGCGTCGTGGCAACAGTCACAACGTATTCTTGTTCCTCCACCTCCGCCTGCTAGAAGGAACTGCTCCCGCCCCGCCTCGCCCCCCTCCTCCTCCTCCTCCTCCTCCTCCTCCTCCTCCTCCTCCTCCTCCTCCTCCTTCCCTTCTCTGAAGACCTTTGGGGACCTGCCGAGATGCTCAAGAGAGACCGATGGGTAATTATGGGTACTAAACGCAGGGTCACACAATGTGCAACACTGCTGTGGGTAGTAACTCAGCTCGAATTAATGCCAGAAGACAAACTCTAACAGTGATCCCTGGACGGGCCGGATAGAGTTGATCCGACACCTCGTCGCAGGGAGCTTGCCAGCTAAACGGGCACAGTTCTCCTTCGACTCTCTGGGCGAGCACCTCGACCTGAATCTCAGGGCCTTTCGGGTCCCAAAACAACCACATCGGGAGCAAAGAACGACTGGAAGCCCTCCTGCCACGCTGCGCCTCCTCGCCTGTTTTATGTCCCCCGTCCTCTTTGCTCGCTCCTCCGGCAGAGCCGCCGGCACGGCCAGCGATGGCCCTGCGTCGAGGCGTGCTCGGTGCCGAGAGGCCTTCGAGCGTGTGGCTTGTGGGATTCGCGCGGATCTGTGAGCAGGTCATCTTTGGCCGTTTTGGTTTCATCTCGAGCCCATCTGGCCGATGATCGACATGGTGGCCGACCGCCTCTAGATTTCGAAGCGAACATGCCCGACCCGCTTCGCCCGCCGTGCGCGGCCGATGATACATCAAGGTCTGGCACCAGTAACATACACCAAGTATGGAATACCAGAACAGACATCAAGAGCTACACGGGTAATACATACATACATATATATAATATATGTGAGTGTGTGTCAGGCGCCCAGATCAGGTATTCATAAGCATATCGGGCACGGCACCGGAACCGTGCCCCCTCCTCCACGACGCCTGGAGGAGCGGTTCTAGCTGCGGGGATGGGGGGCGGGATTCCCGTGTGAGCGGATGCGGGTGGAGGAGGAGCGGGGCTGGTCGCAGCATGGAGCTTGCTCGAGGAAGAGCGCGCGGCTGGCTGCGGGGGATGGCGCCGCCGTGCCGATACGTAGGGGTCGGTGCTCTGGACACCGACCGTGTGCGGGAGTGTCCTCTTCTGGCGCACCTGGCTGGCCAGGTTCACATGCGCATGTAAGCTGCAGCGCATTGGGCCGCGGCAAGCACACACCAGTGACTCTGCGATCGAGCTATATTGCTTGTGGTATATGTCAATACGGCTTCTAGCCACCTAAGATGATTAACAACAGCATGTGATTCCCATGTCGAACTTAGGGCGTTAAGGCATTTGGCAGTTCTTGGGAGCTCACACATTATCAGCTTGTGTGGGCCAGTGGGGAGAAGGTATGATCGGTAATGAGGTCAGGGGTAGATAGTGATTTCGGAACGGGGGATGACTGAGGAGTAGAAGAAGAAGGAGGAGGAGGATAAGTCGGAGGAGGAGGAGGACGAGAGGGAGGACCAGCACGCGCAAAAAGAAGCGCGCAAACAGAAGAGGGCAGTGATGCATGCATGAATTCTTAGTGGAAGGACAAAGGGCAGGGAGGAGGAGAAGGGAGAGAGGAGGATGAGGAGACGGATGGAGAAAACGAAGACGGAAAGTAGGGGTATACAGTATACGGGCGAGGGTGAAGAGGACCAGCACGAGTATGAGAGGGACCAGCGAAAGAGGAGGAGGAGGAGGAGAAGGAGGAGGAGGAGGCAGAGGATGAGGATGTTCCTGCGGACTGCTGGGGATCGGGTAATGAACCGAGGGAAGGCTGATGAGGATGGCGAGGACGAGGAGGAGTGATAAGGAACTGGAGCCGAGCAATCGTCGGAGGACGATGGGAAGCATAACCATGGGAAGGGGGGATCGGCTCCTGGGAGGAATTGGAGCATATAGCAGTAGAGGTTGGACGAACGGCTGATTCTGCGGAAGAGGGATAGTTTGGGCTGGGGGAATGGAGCAGCAGGGGAGGAGCATGAAGAATGAGGTGGATGAGGATGAGGAGGATGAGGCACGAGGCACAGGGCATTGAGGACGGGGAGGGGGAGGAATTCAGTTGGGCGGAGTTGGAGGACACGAGGGCGGAGTTGGAGGACGGGGAAGAGGATCACAATCATCTGCACAAGGAGGGAGAAGAGTAGGCTCAGGTAGGAGGAGGCGGCTGCTGATTGTCATGATGAACATGACTCTGCGGGTTGAGGAGGAGGAAGAGCGGAGAAGAGGTTGGAGCTGGGGGATGTAGATGAGAACGGCGCGGTGGAATGGGGAAGAGGATGACGATGACGATGATGGTGACGATCGTGATGTTGTTGATGGTGAAGGTGCCGATGCCGATGTCGATGCTGTTGTAGGTGGTGTTGGTGATGCTGATGATGATGACGATCGTAATGCTCATCCTCCTGATGATGAGGAGGCTGACGATGATAGTGATGATGAGTATGCTAGAGATGACGATGAGCATGGAGACGAATGGGAATGCGGCGATGATGGTGATACTGGTGATGATGATGCTGATGATGATGATGCTGATGATGATGATGATGATGATGCTGATGTGTATTATGATTCTGATTATGAGCATGATGGTGACGATGGTGGCGGTGATGGTGATAATGGTGATGATGATGGTAGCGCTGATGACGACGATGATGATTATGGTGATTGCGATGGTGGTGATGATGATGTTGATGATGCCGATGAAAATGATGAATAAGCTGATGATGATGCCGAGGAGGAGGAGGAGGTCGAGAGAAGGCGGGCGAGGAGGTCGAGGGGTGCAGATGCCGATGCTGATGATGCTGTAGATGGTGATGATGATGATGATGATGATGATGATGATGACGAGCATGATGATGATCCTCCTGATAGTGAGATGGCTGATGATAATGGTGATAATGGGAATGCTGGAGATGAGGATGAACATGGAGACGAACGATCATGCGACGATGATGCTGACAATGATGATGATGATGATGATGATGATGATGGTGATGGTGATGCTGATGCTGATGATTTTGACGGTGAGTATGGTGGAGTTGTTGATGCTGATGATGGTGATGATGATGGTGCTGCTGATGCTGATGATGGTGGTGATGATGATGATGCTGATGAAACTGATGATGCTGATGCTGCTCATGATGATACTGCTGCTGATGATTTGGGTGATACTGATGGTAGTGATCATGATCATGCTCATGATGATTCTGCTGATTTTATGTTGATGGTGGCCGCGGGAATGATGCTGCCAGCGGTGGTGATGATGCTGAAGAGAAGGATATTGATGGTAATTTTGATGATGATGATGATGATGACGATGATGATGATGATGATGATGATGATGACGATGCTGATGTTGTTGATGATGATGGCCATGATGCTGCTGATGATGATGGTGACTCTGATGATGATGATTGTGATGATGATGATGTTGATGATGATGATGATGCTGATGATGATGCTGTTGCTGATGATGATGATGACGAGGAGGAGGAGGAGGAGGTGTTGGTCGAGAGGAGGAGGAGGATAAACAGGAAGAAGAAGAGGGACGGGACAGAGGGAGTGAGCCAGGAAGGGAGTGAGTTGCGGAAGGTGAGCGGTGGAGGGAGGGAGGAACGAAGGGCCGTGCCAGTCTTTGTTGTTCGCCCTGGTTCTGTGGGCCGTGCGGGCGGTGAAAGGAATGTTCCGTCCCAGCCATGCACCCATGCACCCCATATACCCCCTTTGTACCCACGCAGGCAGCAATCGGCGGGCCTCGTTCCTAGTACTTTCTTGGGCTCGAGGTCTCCAGCATGCAGCGGAGGGTGCTCATCCTCCCCCTCCTCCTTGCTCGCCTCTCTTGCAGCCGTTCTGGCTCAAGTCGCGCCAGATGCTCCGAGCGCGCTGACCCGAAGCCCCGCCCAGCCCCTTGCTCGCCCTTGCCCTTTCCCCTGCCCCTCCTCCTCGCTCGTTCGCAGCCAATCGAGGCAACTTGGATCAAGAGGCGGGGCGCCACTTCTGAGCTTTACGCCGGGCCTTGCGCCAGAGAGCCCCCTTCCTCCTCGCCTCGGAGCAGGGCGAGTTGAGACAAGGGCAGCTCAAACTCGGCCCCCGGACCCCAGACCCCTCCCGGGATCCAACCGCACCAGCTTTCCGAGCTGCGGCTCCCCGCAGGGGAAGTACCGTTGTCTCAGATCACCCTCCTCCCATCCCCCTCCCTTCCCTCCTCCTCCCGAAGGGCTTCTGGGGCCTCTGGGGGATCCTAGGCTCCCTCAGCTATGGCCCCGATGGCTGTGCAGGCCGCAGTGGCCGTGGCGCTGCAGCTCGAGCTTGCCGCGACTGCCGCGGCCTGGGTGGAGCTCTTCTCGCCTCCCAGGAGCGCCGAGGATTGGCCCAGCTGGCTGTCCGACCTGAAGAAGTGGCGCTCCCAGGTGCGGAGCAGCATCAACTACACGGGGGATGTATACGACAACCCCGCTGTTAACTGGACGCGGCTCTCGTACGTGCAGCCGCAGACCCACCTCTACGACCGGTACCTGTACGATCCCGCCAGCCACTCTTACACCGTGGACCGGTACCTCGCAGATGTCGAGAAGCGCTACGGCGGCATCGATTCCATATTGCTGTGGCCCACCTACACGAACATCCCGACTAGACGTAAGAGCGACCTTTCGCCGGAGTGACCTCTGGTGCGGGCACAGACGGGTCCCCGGATGGCTAGAAACGAGGCAGTAGCAGCTACTTGCGCGCCCAGGTTGGGTCCCCCCGCGGCCCCCAAAAAGTCGCGCACCAAAGGTCACGATGTTCCAACCCACTTTAGCCTTGATTGCCCGCAAGAATTTCGAACACCAGAAAAGTACCCCAAAACTCAAGGTTTTCACGTGTCGGACCCTGGGAGACGCGCGTCCGACACTGTTTCGACACTGTTTCGACACTCTCTCGGCACTTTTCGGGATGCTCGAAATTATTTCAGGGATGTGGTCCTTAAGTACGATGGGAGCAACATAACTCTTGCCAAGGGTCACTCCTGCGTGTAGCCGAACCTCGGCATCGACGCCCGCAACCAGTTCGACTACTACAGGGCGCTCCCCGGAGGCCTCGCGGCGCTGCGGGAGCTCGTGCTGGCCTTCAAGGCTCAGGGGGGGAACAAAAACACAGACACAATTCATCGTCGATTCCCAAGAAAAGATGGGAAAATATGGGAACTGGGGGGGAATACAGAAACCCAGGAAACATGGAAACAAAATTGGGAATCTGGTTAGTTGTGTGTATTTATTTGCGTATTTGTGGGCCCCTTCAAAGGCCCGCGGCGTGCGGGTGCTCCTGGCGTACAACCCGTGGGACCAGAGCACGCACGTTGAGGGCGAGCCGCACTGGACGACGCTGGTCCGGCTGATCAAGGATCGAGTCGGGCATGTCCCTCTACAGGAGGAAAAACCAGGGGAGGAAAAGGTACCCATACCTCTACCCTCCCCTCGCCCGTTTTCCCCGTTTTGGGCCTCCTGGGAGGCCCTCGTCGCCACCGCTGGATTCGCCTCGAAATCCTAGTCAGAACGCGCCCCAGGAGAGGTTTGGGGAGTAGCGGTATCGGTACCTTTCGGATTCCCCAGGATCGAGTCAGGCATGTCCCTCTACAGGGGAGGAATATTCAAGAGTAGTAGAAATAGTATGGTGATGATGTTGCATTTGTTTTGATTATTTTATGATTTTTTGTTTTTGTGCATTGCTTGTTTTTCTTACAAAACCCGCATGTAGGAGGACATGCCCGACCGTAATGAAGGAGACTGGCGCCGACGGTTTCAACGGCGACACGATGAGCACCATGTACCGGGAGTTCTGGGACGCCGGCGTTAGGTCCGGCTACCCGATCGTCGGGGAAATGGAGGGCGGGGGCTACGCCGACCCAGGAGGACGTCCCGAGGACGCGTCGTGGGAGAGCGCCAGCTGGGCCCCGATGGGTTGGGGGGAGGGGTGGGGGCACGACGTGGCGCTCGGCGTGGACAAGCTCAAGTGGCTGGACGGCCGGCACATGACCCACGTCTGCGACCGCTGGATGACGAACCACACGGACAACCTGCAGCAGGCATTCTTCAACGGCGTCGGCATGGAGAGTTGGGAGAACGTGTGGGGCATATGGATGCACTTCACCGAGAGGGACGCGGAGGCACTGCGGCGCGTGGCCACCCTGCTCCGCTGGCTTGGGAGTGAGCGGTTCGTGCAGGGCTACGAGGATCGAGTGAGAGAGAAAAATCACCCCGACCCCACGATTGTCATTTGTTATGCCCTGTTCGATTACTTTCTTAGGTGCTACGGTCGGTAACATTGGCTTGGCGTCTCGCTCCGCCAGTTCTAGCCCACAGCGCTTCGGAGCGACACGCTATCCCTTTCCCAGCCCCCCCATCCTCAACGGCATGATCTTATCCGAGCCTCCCGCCCCGCGGGGCGGAGCGACCCATTATTCGTTCGCAGGGCATGGCGTGTCGCTGGGGCCGCCGCCGCGACACGGTATGCAAAAGCTCCCGACCGTCAACGGCTTCGCATGCCGCGGTGCTTATCTTGACGGTGGCTCTTCTGCCTTCTAAGACCATCGAGAATATCCTTTTTTATCCGAGTAGCACAATGAAGACGTAGCCTAACTTAGGTCCCCGCCTTGACATTCTGCATCATCAGCCTGGGTGGCTTGGGTTGATGGCTGCTAGTGCTGCTGAAAAGATCCCCTCTCCCTAATGTGTTGGATCTCTCAGCTTAGGGGTCGTTTTCGACGTTCACCGTCAGAGGAGTGGATCATCCATCTGGGTGGCTTGGGTTGATGGTTGCTGGTGCTGCTGAAAAGATCCCCTCTCCCTACCGTTTTGGACCTCGTAGCTTCGGTCCGCTCCCAAAGGGGGTGGGGGGTCGTTTCCGACGCTCACCCGTCTGAGGAGTGGGAGCCCTACACCCCCGACGTGCTCCGCAGCCCCGGCCGGCCCTTTGCCGAGGGCGGGTCCGTGGGCTCCCGGTTCCGCCACCAGAGCGGCGACTGCGCGTGGCTGGTAGTCAACCGCGGTGGGGCGCCAGAGGAGCGGCAGCGTCGAACCCTCGGCGGCCGCGAGAGGCGCGGTTGCGCCGGGGTGTGGTTCGCGATCGGCACTGTTCTGGGGCCTGGGGAGCATGACGCTGTCCTCGTCGGGCCTCCTCGGGGTGCGGCGGAGGGCTTTGTCGAGGTCCTCGCCCGCCCTCCAGGGTGCCACCCAGTGTCCTGATTGCAAACCGCACCCTTTGCGAAACACACCCTTCGGAGGCGCCGAGTCGAGCCTGTCCCTCCTCACTGGGCCAGGGCATCTCAGCTCCGACAGCCCACCCTCCGCAGGCCCCGCAGAACCCGGAGGAGCAGGCACGCACTCTCCAGCTGGGTGGGCAAGTCGGCCGGTGGGGCCAAGGCCACGCCAGAGGGGGATGGGGATCGGGGAACACGATGCTCAGAGGAGGTGGACCTCAACGTTTCCAGCTGCGGGGTGGAGGGCGGGACCGTGTACGACCTCTACCACGGAGTCCAGCTGCCGGCTGGGCAGCTCCAGGCCGTCAGGGTTCCTGTGGAGGCCAACGGCTTCGGCGCGGTAGTGCTCACGGGGAGGGCCTCCCTCCCGGTCGAGCCGCTGCTGGCGCGCATGCGGGGCCTCACCGCGGCGCCTCTGGCGTCCCTGTCTGCGGAGTGGAGGATGCTGCCGCAGGAGTGCTTAGGCTTCGGGCTGCGCGCAGACGGCCCCTGATGGACCTGTTTTCCACCATCGCCACCATAAGTTGGAGGGGGGGAGGAGCTGGAGGATGATGAGGAGGAGGGAGAAGAGGAGGAGGAGGAGGAAGATGAGGAGGAAGATGAGGAGGAGGAGGAGGAGGAGGAGGAGGACGAGGACCCCGTCCCCCTCCCACTCACGGTGCTGGCGGTGGAAGACACGCTCACAGAGCCCCTGCAGGTAGTCCAGGCTGGCCTCAGCAGGCCCCCCGAGCAGCCTGGGGCGGTCCCAACACACCGGCGCCGCCTCCGGCGGCACCCTTGGGGCGCTCCGCGCCCCGTGGTTGGGGTGCTGCGGCTGCCCTGGGCTACTCGGGGGACCTGCTGTGAACTGGCCAGCCAGGACTATCTGTGGAGGCCGGCTGTGCGAAACCTGAAGCCGTACTCCAGATTTCGCAATAAAGGGAGGGGGGTCTCATTTCGGGGGGGGTCTCTTCCAGGCTATCTTGGAGGGCCTGGGGGGGTCTGGGGACGACGTTTTGGAGGGTTCTCCCACGAGGGGGGGTCTGAAATGGCTCGTCTGGGAGGGTCCAGACCTCCTCCCTTTTATTACGAGATCTGGAGTACCCCGCAGGAGATGGTGGGCATGGAGTCGCGCGTGGCCACCACCGCCACAGCAGACGGCATGGTCTTGATCCCGAGGGCCAGGTACGAGTTTCGATCCGCCGCCGTCGAGCTGGAGGGCAACGACACCCTGGGGATGGACGCCCAGTTCCCGTGGGAGGGGTCCGCCCACCGCTTCCACCAGCGCCTCTTGGAGCTGGGCCCGTTCTACATCGACAGGCACCTGGTCACGAAGGGCGACTTCGCGAGGTTCCTCCACGCGACCAGGTACTCGAAGAAGGGAAAACGCCATAAGCATAAGCTGATGGCGCTCCGCACAGATCTCTTGGATCCGCGCTGGGACCCCCCTGGTGGCGCCTCCAGCGCCGCCCCTGGAGGGGGGTTTCGGCGCAGATCCAAGAAATCCGCGCGGAGGGCCAAAAGTTGATGTTTACAGCCTTTCTGTTTCCTCTCCTAGGTACGCCCCGCGCGACCCTCACAACTTCTTGGTCGGCTGGGCTCCCGCGGCGGAGGGGGGCGGCCTCGCGCCGCCGGCGGGGTCCGAGCGGCAGCCCGTCGTCTGGGTGTCCCTCGCGGAGGCCCGGCGCTACTGCGCGTGGGCCGGCAAGCGGCTACCCCACGCCTACGAGTGGCAGCTGGCGGGCCAGGGCACGGAGCGGCCGGCACGGCAGTACCCGTGGGGGGACGACGAGCTGCCCGGTCGGGGGCTCTCGGGGGCAGCGACAGGGTTCGAGGAGGAGAGCAACGCGACGAACAGAAATTGTTGGCGCTCCGCGCGGAGCCCTCGGATCTACGTTGGGCCCCCTCCCCCCGGCGGCGCCTGCGGCGCCGGCGCCCTGGCGCGCTCCGCGCGCCAGGGAGGGGGGCATGGCGCAGACCCAAGAAATTCGGCGCGGAGCAGCCGACAAAATATGTTTATTTACCAGCCTGGAACATATCCCTATCCCTATGCTGGGCACCTCCTCATCACGATGCCAATATTAGGGGTTCCCTTATTTTTTGAAGGCGAATCCCTAAGATTCTATAGGCGTGCGCCACATCCGCCGACCCCTTTGTTCGAAAAGCGTTGTGGTTTCTCTGGGGTCGCATGCAGTGTCGGCACCATTCTCCTGCAATGTTGCGTGCAGCGTGTGGTCGTGAGGAGGAGGCAGAGGAGAAGGAAGAGAAGGAGGAGGAGGAGGAGGTGATCGCGGGGATCTCTTGGGGGGCTCCTCGCGGGACTCCTGGAGGCAGTTTGGAAGCCTCTTGGGGGCCGTTTTGGGGCCGTTTGGGGCCCTCTTGGGGGCCTTTTGGTGCTTCTTAGGGGCGTCTTGGGGGCCTCTTGGGGCCTTTTGGGGCCTTCTTGGGCCGTCTTGGGGCGGAAGAAGGCTCGGATTGTCGGTTCAAGCTCCCCCTCTTGGGCCCTTCTTGGGGCCGTCTGGGGGCCCTCTTGGGCCGTCTTGGGGGCCTCTTGGGCCGTCTTGGCGCCCTCTTGGGCCGACTTGGGCGCCTCTTGGGGGCCTCTTGGGCCGTCTTGGGGCGGTCTTGGGGTGCTCTTGGGCTGTCTTCCACGCCGCAAAGGCCGACAAGTCGTATATGATGAAAATGTACGTTTCCCATGGGAATTTGACGATTTTCGGCTCTTCGGCCCTTCTGAGGACTGTTCTTGGAGGCCTCTTGGGCCGTCTTGGAGGCTTCTTGGCTCGTCTTGGGGCCATCTTCGGCGTCTTGGAAGGCTCATTTGGGCCGTCTTGGGGCGGAAGGCTCGGATTGTCGGTTCAAGCTCCCCCTCTTGGGCCCCTCTTGGGGCCGTCTGGGGCCGTCTTGGGGGCCTCTTGGGCCGTCTTGGCGCCCTCTTGGGCCGACTTGGGCGCCTCTTGGGGGCCTCTTGGGCCGTTTTGGGGCGGTCTTGGGGTGCTCTTGGACCGTCTTCAACGCCGTAAAGGCCGACGAGTCGTACATGATGAAAATGTACGTTTTCCAATGGGAATTTGATGATTTTCGGTTCTTCGGCCCTTCTGAGGACTGTTCTTGGAGGCCTCTTGGGCCGTCTTGGAGGCCTCTTGGCTCGTCTTGGGGCCATCTTCGGCGTCTTGGAACGCTTGTTTGGGCCGTCTTGGGGCGGAAGGCTCGGATTGTCGGTTTAAGCTCCACCTCTCGGGCCCCTTTTGAGGCCGTCTTGGGGCCCTCTTGGGCCGTCTTGGGGGCCTCTTGGGCCGTCTTGGCGCCCTCTTGGGCCGACTTTAGCGCCTCGTGGGGGCCTCTTGGGCCGTCTTGGGGCGGTGTTCGTGTGCTCTTGGACCTTCTTCCACGCCGTAAAGGCCGACGAGTCGTACATGATGAACATGTACGTTTTCCCATCGGAATTTGACGATTTTCGGCTCTTCGGCCCTTCTGAGGACTGCTCTTGGGGGCCTCTTGGGCCGTCTTGGAGGCCTCTTGGCTCGTCTTGGGGCCATCTTCGGCGTCTTGGGGCGCTCGTTTGGCGTCTCGGGGCCCTCGTGGGCCGTCTTGGAGACGTCTTGTGACCTGCTTGGCCCGTCTTGAGCTCCATTTGGGCCCGAAAGAGGCCCGTGAGTCGCTCGGCGTAGGCCCGGGGGGGGGGGCCGGGAGGGGGGGGGTCAAATTGTCGGTTTGGGGTCCCATGGGGGGGGGCCCTTATTTTTTGAGGGCGAATCCCTAAGATTATCATCGCCTTTTGGCGTGTCAATCTTAGGGATAGGGATACGTTCGAGGCTGGTAATTTATGGCGTTCTCTCTTCTTCTAAATTCTCGGGGGCAGCGACAGGGCGGGTCCGGCCATCGGGTCGGGGAGAGAGTCGGCTACACGTAGGAGTGACCCTTCGCCGGAGTGACCTCGGGGGCGGGCTCATCGGCCCCCCCGATCCCCTAGCGGGATGCGTTCGCGGCTGCTTGCGCGGCCGGATCTGGCCTGTTGCGCCCCCCTTTGGTCCGCGCGCCAGAGGTCACTCTTGCCCAGGGCCACTCTTGCGTGTAGCCCAGAGAGGATCGACCCCCGATCGCTCAGGCCTCTCCGATCGGGGCCCGGGCGCCCCATCGCCGCCCAGCAGCGTGCGGCTCTGCGATCGAGGGCCCATCGTGGAACTGCCGGCGGTCGTTGCGTCCCCCCTTGGCCAGAAAGTTCCCAAGGGTTTTTTTGGGGAGGAGGGTTTTCCAGGAGGGGTCCCCCAGGGTCTTCGCACCCCCTGTTCTGAGAAGGTGCCAAGGCCCCTGGGGGGCTCTCTGGAAAACCCGCTCCCCCAAACCCCCCTTTGGAACCCCCCCAGTTCTGGGCCAGTGCCACCCTGTCGCGCTCCCCCCTCAGGTTCTTCCCGCCCCCGGGCAACGGCAGCACCGTGCCAGAGCTGCCGAACGTGGGGGCGTTCTCCCCACAGGGCGACGCGCCGAGCGGCGTGGCGGATCTCGCGGGCGTGGTGTGGCAGTACACGGACGAGTTCCGGGACGAGCACACGCGCACCGTGCTCCTCAAGGGCAGCGGCCTGTACCACCCGACCGTCTCCGGCAATTTCCCCGCTCTGAGGCAGACGAGGAACTGGTACTTCCCCAGGACCGGACCCCCCGATGCGGTCGGGGAATCGCGCCGCATCGCCGATGCACCGGCGATGCGGCGCGACCTTGGGCCCGAGGTGCCCCCTTTTGACGGCGCGGACGCGCCGCCGATGCTTCCGATGCCTCGAACGGCTTGTTTCGGCCCCAGTGCTAAGAGGAGAGACTGAGACCACCGCCTCTCGAGCGCTCGCTCCCGCGGCATGCCCAAGAAAAGAGGCCACCGCCACCGAGAACCCGTCGGGGGGAGGCCCAGTCCTGGGCAATGGCGCGCCCGAGCGTGGTTCGGCACCGGGTACCGCTCGGGCGCGCCTCCGCCAAGGGGTTGGGCCACCCCCCCGACGGGTTATCCATGGCGGTGGTCTCTGTTTCTCCTCTACCCCATACTTGGGGTGGACGCCCCTCGTCGTAGATCCCCGATTTTGGCCCCAAATATGTTTGGCCCGCTCGAGGATCCCAACTCCTAGGCCTCCCAGATGGGGTCGGAGGATCGCGCCGCATCGCCGATGCATCGGCAATGCGGCTCGATGCGGAGCCCGATATTCTCCACGCCGACGTCGCCGATGCGTCGCCGATGTCGGCGGTGCATCGTCGATGCATCGCCGATGCATTGGCGATGCGGCGCGATCCTTCGACCCCATTCGCTCCGACCCCATCCAGTTAGGAGGCCTGTACCGACAGTCAGGGATCGGGGCCGCCAGACGGTGTGGGCGTCGGTCAAGGAATGTGCCCAGAAAGCTCCAGACCCTGGCGCACTCCTTATCTGTGGCCAAGCGTCAGCTGGAGTTCCACCAGCTTCCAGAGGAGGACGATGAGGAGGACGAGGAGGAGGAGGAGGAGGAGGAGGAGGAGGAGGAGGCGGAGGCGGCGGAGGCGGAGACGGAGGAGGAGGAGGAGGAGCTTGCACTCCTTGCCCAACGATTCCCTACCCGAGGCCCTCGCCGCACCCCCCCGCTCGGCTACCCGCCAGGGCCCTGGAGCTCGACAGGCACAACCGCATGATGCTGATGGACGACGCCTACGAGCGCGCCGGCACCCTCGGGTTCCGCTGCGCCGCCGACCACGCCGAGGGGCAGGCGGCGCCGTACCACTTCAGGGACCTCGGGCCGCCCGAGGGCGCCGGCTCGGCTGCGCCGCTCGTCGTCTGAGCGCAGCGGCCCCCCCCCAAAAGGCCTTGGTCCTCCTCCCTCCTCGCCCTCCGTGTCCTCGTCCTCCTCATCCTCCTCGTCCTCCTCGGCGTCGTCCTCCTCCTCCTTCGCCAACTCCTCCCTCCCCCTCCTCTCGCTCTCCTCCTCTTCCTCCCTCTCCTCCTCGTCGCGCTCAGGGCCGCCGCACTCGCCTCAGGGTACCAGAGGCCGGGGCACTGCGAGCCGGGGCTCGTGCCAATGCCACGGTGGGAGACGTCACAGCACGGAGCGCATGCACCTCGGCCCCACGGCTGCAGCCCTGCGGGGCGCGCGGAGGTGCAGATGAGAGACAGAGGCCACCGCTCCTCCTCCTCCTCCTCCTCCTCCTCCTCCTCCTGATCCTCCTCCTCCTCCTCCTCCTCCTCCTCCTCCGCCTCCTCCTCCTCCTCCTCCGCCTCCTCTCATTTTGCTGTGCGCTACCCTTGCGGCGCACGCGGCTCTGGGGGGCATCCCGACTCCTAGTGCGGGCGCTGTCCCCCAGGGGGTGCATGTGCGGAGAGGCTCTCCGGTACGATCATGCCCCTCCCAAGCGCCACAGGGAGCCCATCGGGTGGGGGGACGTGACCCCTGGGCGGCGGCACGCCCCCAGGGGCACCCACTGCCGGGTGGCGCTCGGGCGTGCCGTTGCCCATGGCCGAGTCTCTCCCGACCGAGTCTCGGTGCCGGTGGTCTCTGTCTCTCCTCTGGGCACGGGGGCCGACACGCGCGGGGTCGGAGGATCACGCCCCACTTGATGCATCGGGGAGATCGGCGGCGCACTGGCGCCGTCAAGACGGGGATCGTCGGGCTCAAGGTCGCGCCGCACTGCGCAGTTCTTTATAGTTATGTATTTATGTATGCATTTATTTATTTATTTTTTACTTATTTATGTATTTAGTTCTTTATCTATTTATTTATTTATTTATTTATATTTTTATTTATTTATTTATATTTTATAATAACTAATATTATTGTTAAAAACCTCTCTTAGCACCAAGCCCCTGATCACGGGGCCCTGGCCGCCCTCCAAGCGCACCTCCGGCGGGCTTCTGCTTATTGCCCGCCCCTGTGCTGTCGGCGGGCGCCCCGCGCGCGAGCGGATCGCCCCCGCCGCGCCGCGACGGGCCAGAAGTGTTGTTGGCGGGCGGGGCGGTGGGCTCGTCGCCCTTGGGGCTGGAGGCCCGTGCGGGTGCGCAGGGCAGCTAGGGCAAGCATGAGGAAGAGATGGAAGGGACGACTCTGGTTCAAAATTGGGGGGGGCACAGGCTCGGTGGGGGTTGCACCGACGCCCAATCGTCCACCGATCACCGACAGGGGCCCGATTGCCCCACCCCGCTCGGGAGCGTGCGGATGTGTTATCGGGGCCTATCGGGGCCTATCGTCGGCGATGGATCGCCGATTCCAGGCGGATGCCTTCCCCTGGAGCCTGTCTCCCCTTCCCCTCCCGGATGTCGCCCCTCGGCGATGGCCACACCCGTCCCGTAATCTCCATGTCCATCCACACTCCCCGCCTCCGCGTCCTGCCCCCCCCCCTCCCCCTCCATGTCGCTTGACGCAGGCAGATCTATGTCCACAGGGATCTGGCGCATGCCTTTTTGCCATCGCTTCCATGTGCTGCGCCCTGTGCCAGGGCGTGCCCGAGTGCAAGAGGTGGGGCTGGGTCAAGAGCGGCCTCGACAACAACGGCGGCAACGATAACGACTGCGGCGACGGCGGCATCGGCGACGACGACGACGACGACGACGACGACGGCGACAGCGGCATCGACGACGACGACGACGACGACGACGACGACGACGGCGACGGCGATGGCGTCGACGACGACGACGACGGCGATGGCGTCGACGACGACGACGACGGCGACGATCGTCGATCGAGCTCGACGCGGGCGCGACCCTCACCCCCTCACCCTTGCCCCACCTCGGCGTTCCGTTCCAAGACCCCCGATTCCTTGATCTTCTTAAAGCCTGGACCCCCAGAGGCCTCGACCCCCTTCGGGGCTAGACAGGAATCTGACCCTGACACGTCGATTCGTGAATTGTCCGTGTTCGGTTCTCGAGAGAGCGCCGCGGCCGTCATTTTCCAGGCTGGCGCCCGCCAGGTTTGGGCCCGAGGTCCTTTTCACTTCACCACGTTTTACTAAAGGGGGCTCTGTCCATCCCCGACCCTGCCCCCGGCCAGCGTTCCATCCGGAGCCATTTTGTCGACGGCCCCGGGGCCCAGCGACGGCCGCCAGGGGCCGAGGAATCGCCAATCCCTTCCCGTCGTGACTTTGCCACGGCGCGGCCAAGTCTGGGTCGTCACATCGGTCTCAAGCAGTGGCGAAGCGACCTGGCTCGCCTACAGGGGGAATGTTCTACGAACCTTTTGCGGTCTGCACGACATGTTCGGAGACCATCTCTCTGGCCGAGCCTGTCCTGTCCCAGCACGGCGGCCTCCTGCTCCAAGAACACCCGTGTTCGTTCTCAGAACGCTCTCTCAGAGCACTTCTCTGGCTCTATAAAGAACATGCCTTGGTAGGCCTCGAGGAATGCTACGACGGTCGCTCCCTGCTCAAAAATCTCTTCTTGAAAATAAAATTTCTATCATTTTACACATGACATTTAATTAAGAAAAGAATGAGAAAAATATGGATCCGTGTGATCTTCTCTTTGATCCCGGCCAACAGAATAAAGAAAAAGAAGCTCAAAAGACGTCTGGGCCGCTGCACCAGCCGCTGTCGCTCGAGCGGCCTGCCGCCCTCCTGCCATCCGGGCAACCGCCGCCGCCATGGCGCGCACGGGCGGCGGCGGCGGCCTGCCGGTGCTCGTCACGGGCGCCTGCGGCCACCTGGGAGGCCACGTCGTCCGCAGGCTGGCGGGCCGCGGGCAGCGCGTGCTGGCGACGGACCGGTCGGAGGCTCCGGGGAGGAAGCGGCGCCGCTGCCCTGCCTCTTGGTTTCGCCGTGCTTCGGGGGCGGGAAAGAGGGGGGGGATGACTATAGGGGGGGGTGGATATATCATGGCGGGGGCCATGATGTTTCCCTAGACTTTAGGGCGCCTCTTCTTGCTTCAGTACGTCCCTGGCCCCCGCGCTGGGCCGCGCACATGCCGCCGGTCATGATTTGCATCCCCCCCTCTTGGACACCCCCGTCTTGGCCGCTCCCGAGTTCTCGGGGCCTCCTGGGAGGCCCCAGGAAAGGTCCAGGCGTGGTCTCTACTATAAGGTGTTGCCTCTGGGTCCGGAGTGGCGAGCAGAGCGCGATGCCAGAGTGCAGCGTCCTCGGTCTATCGGAGGTCCGGAGCGCATGGTCCAGAGTGCGCTCTCCCCGAAGGGGGGTTCTGAAGAGAGAGAGGCGATCCCTGCCTCCCTGGCGCGCCCAAGGCCTCCTGGGAGGCCCGCGTCGCCACGGCTCGATTCGCCTCGACGTGTCGGTCAGAACGCCTCGCTCCTTCTCCTCCTCGGCCTTCTCCTCCTCCTCCTCCTCCTCCTCCTCCTCCTCCTCCTCCTCCTCCTCCTCCTCCTCCTCCCTCCTCCCCCCTCCCTCCTGCCTCCTCCCTCCTCCCTCCTCCCCCCTCCCTCCTGCCTCCTCCTCCTCCTCCTCCTCCTCCTCCTCCTCCCTCCTCCTCCTCCTCCTCCTCCTCCTCCTCCTCCTCCTCCTCCTCCTCCTCCTCCTCCTCCGGGAGGCGGAGATGTCCGGGGAGTGGCGGCATCGGCGTTCTTCTTTGGTTCCCCCAAGAAGGCCCCCGCAGATCCGCAGGCGGCTTGGGGGCCCGAGGCAGCCCGCCTCGTCGAGTTCGTGCAGGCAGACCTGACCGACGGCTCGGCGATGCAGGACCTGGCGGCCAGATGTGGCGACGCCGTGCACGTGGGCGCCATCCCTGGGCCGACCCGGCACCTGCCACCCGGGGTGGACCCGGCCTGCCTGCAGAAGAGCGCCATCGGGCTCGAGGACCTGCCTGGTCTGGAGCTGCTCCGGCTGAACCTTCTGGGCACCGGGCTGCTTTTCGAGGCGCTTGCTGCCAGGCGCGATGGCCGCCGGGTGGTGTTCTCGTCGTCGCTATTCTCAATGGGTTACTCGCACGACCCCGCTGATTTCCGGCCGCAGTACCTGCCGCTGGACGAGGACCACCCCATGCAGCCTCTCGAGCATTATGGCCTGAGCAAGGCCATGGGCGAGGAGATGGCGCGCATGTTGGCTCGCGTTGGCGCGGTGCCCAGCAACGACGATTGCCGCGGCCCCGAAGCGAAGCGTCCGCGCACCAGCGACGCACGTGGCGTGGGACCCTCCTTCGTGTGCCTCCGCTTTTCGAACATCGTCAAGGCTGAGAGGTGGGACAAGCTCCCATGGCCGGCACCGGAGAATGGGGTCACTCCACTTCTGTGGGCATACTGCCACGAGTCCGACGTCATCGACGCGCACCTGCTGGCACTTGACGTGCCGCGTGAGGCGCTGGCATCGTCGTGCGAGAGCTTCCTCCTGGTCGCGGACGACACTCGCTACGACAAGCCCACGTCCGAGCTGATCTCTCAGCAGTGGGACCGTCCGCCGCCTCTGCGGCGGGCGCTTCCGGACCACAGCTCCATAGTCTCGAACGACAAGGCCAAGCAGGTGCTCGGCTTCAGGCCTCGCAGCGTGCGCCCGCTCGCGAGCAGCGCCGATGCTCCGCAGACCGGCCCAGGCAGAGGCGACCGCTCGTGGCACACGTTCAGGGCGCCCAGTGGCTTTGTACTGAGCAGCGGGGAGATTCTGGACGACGGCTTTCTGGCCTATCAGACGTACGGGGAGCTGAACACGGACGGCTCCAATGCGGTCCTGCACCCGACATCTTTCGATGCGGTACACTGGGAGCTGGAGTATAACATCGGCCCAGGTCGGCTGCTGGATACCAGCAAGTATTTCGTCATCGTCATTAACCTGTTGGGGAATGGGGTGTCCATGTCGCCCTCGACCTGCGAGGCCAGGGCGACATTCCCTGCCAAAGGAACGTCAATGAGCGACAACGTCCGCCTTCAAGCACTCCTCCTCGACAAGTTGGGGGTTGGGCCCCTGGCGCTCATCTACGGCTACTCCATGGGAGCCATGCAGGCTCTGCACTGGGGCGTCATGTACCCGGACCGCGTGCAGCGGATCGCTGCGGTCTGCGGCTCCGCGAGGGCGAGCGACTACAACGTGGTATTTCTCGACAGCCTGCGGGCTGCGCTGCTGGCCGACCCGCACTGCGTGGAGGGCGCCGACGGGCGCCTGCTGCTGACTGGCCCCTGCCATCGGGGCCTGAAAACCTTCGGCAGAATCTATGCTGGCTGGGGTGTGCCCATGGAGTTCTACCGGCAGGAGCTGTGGAGGAAGAGCTCCCGAGATGGGCAACCCTTCGCCAGCCGTGAGGACTTCGTCGTGCGCTCCTACGAGGGCGGCTTCGCGAGCGCGAACCCGCTCAACCTGCTCGCGCAGCTGCACACGTGGGCCACCGCCGACGTCTCCAAGGCGCACGGCATGGCGGCGGGGTGCACGCTGGCCGAGGCCCTCGGTCGCGTTAGGGCGCGGGTGTACCTCATGCCCTGCACGACCGACGCGTACTTCACGGTCGCGGAGACCAAGGTCGTGGAACAGCGCCTACGTCGGGCATGCCTCTCTACAGGAGGAATGCTCGAGAATAGTAAAACGGTAGTCTGGCGACGATATTACATGCTTTTGGTACTGTTGTGATCATGTTATGAACATGTTCAATGTTTCTTCCAAGTCCCGCCTGTAGGAGGACATGCCCGACCTGAAACAACGGCACAGACGTAGAATTGTTCGGAGCTCCGTGCGGAACTCATGGGTCGGCGCTGGGCCAGCCCTGGCAGCGCTTCCAGCCCGCACCCCTGGCGCGCGGCGGGGAGGGAGCGGTCCACAGCGCCAATCCGAGAAGTCCGCGCGGACCTCCGAGAGTTCTGTCTATGCATATGTTTGCTTTTCCTCTCCAGTCGACGAGGAAGAAACGCCATAAACATAAACTTTTGGCGCTCCGCGCGAATTTCTTAGATCCGCGCTGGGCCCTCCCGGCGGCGCCTGCCCACCGCGGATCCAGGAAACCCGCGCGGAGCGCCAAACGTTTTATGCTGATTGCATTTTTTTACAGGTGGAGGCGTCGTCGCTTCCCAACTGCAGGTTCTGGCCGCTGGAGTCCGACTGGGGGCACCGGGCAGGGGACCCCCACAGGCCTGGGCAGGAGGCCGACGCGGCCGCGCTGGCCTCGAGGGTGGCGGAGCTGCTGGCGGAGCCGACGCCCTGCTAGCCGCTGCCAGCCCGCCAGCGCACGCGCCGGACTCGCGAGCGGGTCCCAAGGGGAGCGGGTCCTGGAAGAGAAGGGGCATACAGTCAATGCGCGTAGTGAGGACGCGCGCCTTCGTCTAGGGTGCCCTGGTGTCCTTGCCTCTGCGGCCCGTCCT